GAGAGCCTGCGTTCAGAACTGTCAATGGATTTGTGGCACATATGAGGTCACCGACCATGCATGTGCTGACCTGCGGATGCGTCTTGGCGGACGCCGACGACGAAGCTGTGAGCGCATTGACACCAACCAACTGAGGAAGCCAGTTGTTCTGAATGTCTTTCATAGTATGCTGACATGCGAGTTGAGTAAGCTCTCACTAGATACAATTGTTGTTCACTGGTCTGATGTTCACCCGACTTTACTAGCAGCAGGCAACTCCTCGTGTGTTAAGTCTAATCATCGACATGAATACTGGGTCCATCCGCAGTCCCTGGGATTTATTGATACTCGCCGACACATTCCTGCTGAAAGCGAACACAACGAGACTCACAGAAACCTGAGGACAAAACTCCGCGCTAGCCTGAAGAGAGACCGCTAATCTGGGTGGCCCATCGTGCATCAGAGATGGAAATGGCAGCTGCCCTTGGTAACCATTGGATGTTATTCTGTCTGATACGGACAACGAGCAGTAGGAGACCTAATGTTAGTGCAACTATACGTAAAAAGAGTGGAGTCGGGGAGCGTTACGTGACACGGACACGATCAAAAATTCACGACGGCGGCGAGCGGACAACGGGCGTTTATTCAGTATAGTGTAGCCTATTTAAAGGAAATAAACACTGTTAATCTTCGAGCCTTCTCAGTGGGTCTCCTGTTTTTCGGCTCACCTCATGACTTGCCTTCCTCTTTTATTTCATTGGGTTATGTTATACCTCTTCGGTCGCTGTCTTCCTGTCTCGCGCAACGATCACGTCTTTCGCGCTTGGCATCTGATTGGCCGTATTTCTTTGGACCACTAATATTTGGCTTTGCACTCTGAAACTTGCCGTTAATAGCGATTCTCAAGTTGCCACTGCGCCCTCTACGTTCTAATTTCCAATCCGGTTTGTCGGTTTCCGTCTACGTGTGCCACTCGAGATTCGCTGTCTAGCCATTGCTGTGTCTCCCGGTGGGTTCACGCGTTCTCTCGATCAAACTGATCCGCTGACTACGGAAACCTGCGCTTAGGTTTTAAGGCGGAGCATGCTGGACTGGTTTCCTAAACCCCGTTACAGGGAGAAAGGAAGAATTGCCTAGAAAATACACTAGTTAAGCGATTACTGGATTAGTAACGATTATCGCATCGATTTCGGAGGTTCCGGAATGTTCTAGTTCTGCATGTGACTAAAATCCACCTGACACCTCGGTAAAGGACTTGGGGAACGAGTAATCTTGGTGGCTGACCTTCCAATTCTAGAAGTTGAAAGTCAGTAAGAGACCTATAAATACAGCCAAGGTCCTCAGTAGTTGTACAGTGTTGGCGGTGATTAATACGTTATTTTGTCAAGGTCATTGGCGTTCTGGTTTTTTCCTTCGGTTTGGCTAGGTGTTTTATGGAGCAGTGAATTGTTATTCTTGTAATTGCGTCTAGTGAGAAGATTATAGCAAATGGCGACGGAAAATATTGAAAATTTGTGAATTTATCTGTTGAACAATTTCAAAAGCTGCTTTTCCAACAGCGAGCTCAAATGGAGGCACAAATGCAAATGACCGAAAATCTGACATAATGCTTGTGTTTGCAGACGACAGGAGCAACGACGCCGGACATGCAAGCGAGTTCTGTTGATCTTCTCACGAATGCAATCATTGAATTTAATTATGACGCGGATTCTGAATGCAACTTCGAAGCTTGGTTCAATCGCTGGGAAGACATGTTCCGGACGGACTTCATTAGTCAGGACGACTCCTAAAAGATGCGATTGCTACTCATGAAGCTCGGAATAAGTGAACATTAAAGGTACATAGACCACATTCTGCTCAAACAGCCGAAGGATCTGACGTACGACGAATTAGGGTCGCTGCTAAAGAAAATTTTTGGTGAGTCGGTATCGTAGTTTAGTATTTGCTATCAATGTCTGAAAATCGTCAAACAGGAATCGGACGACTTTGGGACCCTCTAGCAGACATGACTAACGGTGAGTGTGAACGTTTCAAACTACGCGCTTTAATGGACGGTCAGTTTATTTGTCTCATTTTCGTTAGCGCTCTACAATCCCCCAGTGATGATGAGATCCGCACGCGGCTTTTATCTAAGCTGTAGCAAGATCCTGATCTGACATTGAAGGCCATCGTAAGCGAATGCAAACTGCTGCTCACCCTAAAACACGACATTGCCATGGTCGAACGAAATGGTCTCGCCAAACCAGATACCGTGCAACACGAGAAAAAGGCCAGCACTGTCAACTGAAGCAAAGCCTTCAAGTGGTGTACGAACAAACCGCCCACAGCATGCTAGTCATGCGGCGAATGGCATTTCGCGCGCTTTTGTCCCTTCAAACATCATATTTGTCAAAAGTGCCATAAGCGTGGGCATAAAGAGGAATGCTGCAGTCAGCCCCGGTCGAAGAAAGTGAAGAAGTCGTATCGAAAGGGCAATTCTAGGAAGGATGGTGCATAGTCTCTGTCCATAGTCACCGCGTTCCAAAGCGGGTGTAAACCGAGACGACGACTTATCTGCGTGTTGAGTAATGGGATCCCGATGAAACTGCAATTTAACACGGCCTCGGACATCACAATTATTTCCAGGATCACATGGAATCATATAAAGAGGCCGAAGATGGTCGAGTCTCAGAAAGTTGCACATAATGCATCTGGCGGTGTGTTAGACTTAGTGAGCGAACTTATTGCAAGATGTCTTTCCAAGGTGTGGAAAAGTCGGGAACATTCTACATTT